GTGAGAGTGTATGCAGAATGCTAGCTGAATCAGAGATAGACTACACTATTATGAACACTAGTGACATGCTAATCTGCATGAAGCTAGAGTGTATGTCATGATCATGTGAGTGTGACTGAATCTGATGAGAGAGAATGTGATTCAGAAGAACATACAATCACTGAATAATAACACAGCTGCTTCTGAACATGCTTCTGAACACACTTACAAATGTAAAGAGGCTCTAGCGGCCACTAATTATTTAGTTAATATATATAAGAAGCCGGCGTACGCCTGTAATCATACGCTGGCTCAAGCAACCTTTGAATCACAATATTAGTCAGACTGATGAAATAGATTGTTATATAGTTCTGCTATCAGCAACTTCTTTTTCAGAGCATTTCATACATATTGACAGAGATCTGTGTCAGATTCATGATCTTGTGAATGTCATTTTCATGAATTCTATCATTGTGAATATCAAGCTTCTGTTTTAAGTGTTTAATAAGATGCCTTGTTCAGATAGTCAGACAAGTTCTAACATAAGATTATAATCAAGATTATTAACTTTATATACATAGACATCTTCATGTTAATGTTCTCTCATATCTATAGTCAATTTTATCATGTAACAGGTACAAATGTCTTTTAAATCTGTGGCGGGCTGCGCCGGATCAATTATATAGACTATTTCATTACACTTCACAGATTTCAACTGCTCTATTCTTGAACATGTACACTTCAATTCTCAGCCATTCTCAATCACCGATCCTCGGCCGCCATGAACGCGTATGCTCCGATTCTCGGCCAGTCTCAATCGCCGATCCTCGGCCACCATGAACATGTATAGATTCTTCCGCCTAGACTGGCCGCTGAGATCATGAATTTCACATTTAGTTCCATTTGATCTGGTCTCATACATTTCTTGGCATGAATCCTGCTGGGACTAATTATTAAATAAACATGCAAAGTGACTATATATCAGATCTTAAAATGAAATCATGACTTGAAAAAAATGAGAAAGTGATCTCATTTGATCTCATTTAGTCTCATTCTTGACATAAAGTTACTATTTTTAGACATTTTAAGGTTTTTTTTAGACTATTTTTAATTTTTTAAAAAGTAACACTTTTTGATAACACTTAAATAAGATTTAAAGTCATTTAAAGCAATAAAAATAATTTAAATTGAGAAGTGAAAATCATGATATCATTTGAAAAATGTGATAAGAGTAGACAGTAAGTCTCACTGAAACAGTATGAGACTACTATCTAATGTTAAATGAGAGGTAGAAAACAATGTTCTGCAATTGACACTGTTCTCTCAGTTGTTCCTGATATTCAAATAGCAAAGCATGAAGGTCTGGTCTCAACTGCAGTTTTTATTGATATAAAAGAAGCATTTGATTATGTTTCAAAGTCAAAGTTAATTCAGACTTTGAAGATGTTAAAACTGCCACTTTCTCTAATAAAATGAGTTAACTGTTTTATGTCTAAAAGAATCATACAACTTTTCTTTGATGGAATGAAATAAGAAAAGACTGAGATAAAAATAGAAGTGCTGTAAGAATCTTCAATCTCACTCATTTTATTTACAATATACACTGCATATCTATTCAAAGATAGAAATATAAAAATAGTATGATCTCTGAGTTATGTAGATGATATTGGTCTAGTCTACAGCTCAAAAACTATCAAAGAGAATTTGAAAGTGATTGAAAAAGCTGCAAAGAAAATCTTTGTCAGAGCAGATATCAATCAAATTCAATTTAATATGAATAAAACTGAGTTAATTCATTTCTTTCCTAGATTCAATGAGAAAGAACTATCTCTAACTCTTTTAAATAGAGAGATTAACCCCAGTTTAAATGTCAAATGATTAGGAGTATGGTTAAACTTCAAGTTGAATTTTAAATATTATATTTAACAAAGAACTGTCAAGGCAGAAAGACTACTGAACAACATTATCAGACTATCAAATACAGAGAGAGGTCTATTGTTCCAGGCTATGAGACAGTTATATATAGCCTGTATTACCTCAGTAGCTGATTATAAAGTTCAAGTTTAATGGAATAATCAAGGAAATTTCACTGAACTCTTTCAAAGTCTGCAAAACAGAGCTTTGAGAAGAATTCTGAGAGCATTCAAATCATCTCCTATTAAAGCAATGAAAATTGAAGCTTCAATTCTCTCTTCTGCTATTAGATTTGAAAAGGCCTGTATGAACTATGCTCTGAGAGTTATAAAGATGAGCTCAAATCATATAATCAGAGAAAGAGTCTCTTTCTCATTTTCATCAGTTAACTCTGGAAATGAACTGAATTGAAATAGATTTCTTGATTGAAATGAAAATAATTCTTCAAAGAAAATGCCTTCTCAACTGTACAGACTATACTCACTGATTAAAAATCAATTTTCTTCTTTAAATATTGAAAAAGTTGATCATGAGAAGTTATCTCTCTAAGGAGAAAAGCTTGATTCTCTTATAGACTTACAAATAAGTGAACTATCTAAAGAGAAAGAATGTGAACAGCATTTGAAGAGAATTTCTACAATCAATATAAAAGACTCTATTCTGATTTATTCAGATGACTCAAAAAATGAGAATCTGAATAGATTAAGTGCAGGCATTGCTTATACTGAAGATAATATTAATTTTATCTCAGATTTCTGAAATTTAGACTGTGAATCTGAAGTCTTTGATGCTAAACTATTTGCAATAGTGAAAGCTTTCAAACTTATTGAAATAAAATCTTATAAAAGAGAAAATAGTTTGAAAGAGACATGAATATTCTCTAATAGTCAAGCTGCTTTAAAAAGACTTAGAAATAGTCAGATTTATAATGATTAAATGAATCTTGAACTAATCTTAAACTCCATTTTAAAAATTCAAAAGAGAAGAATATTAAAGCTGATAATTTATCTGCACTGAGTTCCTGCTCATATGAATATTCATGATAATGAATTGGCTGATTCAGCTGCAAAAAAAGGTTCAGAATTAAGCAGATCTATTCAAAAAATTGTGTTCTGGTCTTTTATAAAGAGAAAAATAAAAGAATCTTATTTAGACAAGTGAAATGAAAGCTGACAGAAACAAAAGAAGAGTATACATTATTCAAGATTTGAAACAAAATCCAAGTGGAAATCTTGTTCAATTAAATGTAAAAAGAAAATATTCTCATCTATAATACAGCTGAAACTAGGACATGGCTATTTCAAATCTTATATACAAAGATTTGATAATAGATTTGATTCAATAGAATGCTCATTCTGCAATGTAAATGAGAATTCTGAGTATATTGTAATGCACTGTGCATTATACAACAGTCTCAGAGTCAGATTGAAAGAGAAGTATGATCTAAATCAATTAAATATGAGATTTTTATTCTCAACTGAGACAGGAATTAAATACTTAATAGACTTTCTATCAGAAACTCAAGCAGCTACAAGAAAATGACTGAATTCAGAAATATCTGAATATGAAGAGGAGAAAATTGATCAGATATAGTCTGTTAAAACAGCTATATACTATCTTTTAATAATTTGTTTCACTACAGTCTCTCATTATTTTACTGTACTTTTTTCTTTCTATTCTTTTCTATCTATCTATTTAATGTGTCTATCTTTAAGACTGTGTTCTCTTTTCTTTTGTCATGTCAAATGGTTTCAAAGTATCAGAAGATGTTAAAATACTGCAATTTGTAAACAGTTTTTGTATTCTGGGCTGGAATTTTCTGATTTTACATATCTGAAATTGGTGAATGTATAATAGTTAACTTTATAGATATAGGAAAAACCCTGAGAACTTTTAGTTCTCAGGTAGATGTCATAGTCTCTGACTGCATACATCTATAATTGAAGAATAATAATAATAATAATAACTATCTAATGTTAGAACTGTGTAATAAAATCTGTTGAATTCGCAATGAGACTATCAAAAATTCTGGTTCTGATCTTAGACACAGTCACACGGTCACTCTACTTCCGCCCTGAAGCCTCACTGCATACATCATCACATACACATATAAATATTTGCTTCAATTGCTGATTCTCACACTTTCTCTTTCTTTTCTTCTCTAATGTTTTTCTCTTTGTTATATAAGACCTATCAGTATTATACTGATCTATTTAACATAGATCTCTTACACTAGAAAAATATTCATCATCTTCTTATTAGAAATGATTATTCATGTATTATCTTCTCATTAGAAATGATTATTTATCAAGAGATATCTGAACATGTAATGATGTGTAAGAAAGAGAAACAATTAGTTAAAGTAAATATTAAGTTCTCAGATAGAAGCTTGCTCATCAGTTACTCTGACTCTGTAATAAGATCTTATAAAGAGAATGTCAGTGAAAGACCTGAGAGTTCTGATCTCAGATGTATAAGATATTCATATAATTACACTTCTTCAGATATTACATATCTGATAAAATGATATAATCATGTCTAACAATAATATAAAACTCTTGAATGTAAGTATAAATATGATATCACAGTGACTCTGAGCAATGTTGAAATTACAACAATAATAAATAGCTGATATGCATGTAACTTAACAACTTTAATACAAAGAGATTTAACAATTAACTCATGCAATTTCAACATCTACAGAATTGAATATAAAAGCACTGAAGAAATGCTTAGATACTTCTATATATTTCAATACTTTCAATCTCACTCTCTACTTATTATAAAGAATGAAAATGCTTGTAAAACTGAGTATAGATGAAGATGTCATCAGTTCACTAATTAATTAAGATTAATATATCAATGAATAATTGAAGAATCATGTGAAACAGAAGTTTTATTCATGAATAAAAGCATGTGAATCAGTGTTATGAATATCTAATAATATTATGAAATATCTTGATATTCTGTTCTGAGACACTGTCATACAACAGAAAGTGTTAGACTGATTACAGAGTATCTGACAGAGAAATACTTCTCTTATAACATTTATTTCTGACTTCAACATCAAGATCTTAGAAGCAGGTGATTAATCTTGAAAAGATTAAATGAAGATTAGCATGCTTAAGAAGACATTAATCTTCAAACTCTTACAGACTCTTATAAGTGTAGATAAAGATCAAACTTATGAAGACTTCTGCACACAGCTTCAGACATTGAACAACTATCTTATCAAGCTTAAGAGTATACAGAACAGCAGCAGAAGACATTACATCTCAGTCACTTATACACCCGCGCTGAAGAATAACAATGATGCAGATGTCATGAATTGAGTAGACTTAAATATCTACATATAAGCAAGAGTCTTCATCATCTGAACAGGCTTCTGAGTTCCTGGGATCACTTCTGAAGAAGTCACTGATTGATATCAATATGAAGTATGTATTAACTATAATCAATCAGAGCATATTACTTTCAACTGCTGATTAATCTACATGTCTTCTCACTTAAAGAATGAATCAATGCCTGTCTGTGTCAATTACATTGCATTGAAAGAAGATTCAGAGAATAACTATGAGAATGTTTCAATGAAACAGGGAAAAGATTAGCTTCTGTTCAAATTAATAAACAGAAGCTTGAAGAGATCAGATAATAACAATTTGAAGAGAAAATGATAATAAATGCAATTTTTGTATCTACTGTAATTGATAATATGTATAATATAAAAGTCATGATAGACAGCAGTCTATATTACTGTGCAATGATAAAATCTTCAGTCATAAGACATCATAATCTTCAGTGTATCTCTTTATCAAAACTCTGACTTCTCACAGAATTTAATGATTCAAAAGACATTTATATCTGTTATATAATAAAGTTGATCATAGATGTGAGAGAACATTAATGTGAAGATATCTATATATATAAAGTTGATAATCTTGATTATAATCTAATGTTAGAACTTGTCTGACTATCTGAATAAGATATCTTATTAAATGCTTAAAACAGAAGTTTAATATTCTCTAATAATGATAGAATTTATGAAGATGATATTTACAAAACTATGAATCTTACACAGATCTCTGTCAACACTTATAAAATGCTCTGAAAAAGAAGTCATTAAAACTGCTAACAGAGTTACTGACAAAGTCACTGATAGTAGAATTATATATCAATCTATTTCACCAGTCTGATCAATATCAAGAAAGCTCTAGAAAAGTTATTCTGTACTATAATAATAGATTCTCATACAAAACTCTCTTAATAATATCATGAATATCTAGATGTCTTCTGATAAGATAACATTATAAATATATCTTCTTTACAAGACTCAGAAATGAATCACAGTATTAAGTTAGAAAAGAAGAATAATAAGAACTCTGAGTCACTATGAGACTCTCTTTATAATATATCTTGAGATGAACTTCTTCTTTCTCAGAAGACACTTAATAATCTGTTGAATAAGAAATTTATACATGTTAGTAACTCTTTCACTGCAGCTTCTATTCTCTTTATAAAGAAGTTAAATGAAGAACTTCAATTCTGTGTGAACTACTGAGATCTGAACAGATTGATAAAGAAAGATTGTTATCTCTTATCTCTTATCAATAAAATTCTAGCATGAATTAAGTAAGCTCAATAGTTTACAAAGCTAGATATTATCACTGTGTTTCATAAGATTTGTATCACTGAAGAAGATGAATAGCTTACAGTATTTCAAACATATTATAATCTCTTTGAATGAATAGTCACACTCTTTGAACTGATTAATACTCTTAGTACATTTCAGAAGTATATCAACTGAGCACTTCAAGATTTTCTTAATAAGTTTATATCTGCTTATCTAGATAATATTCTCATCTTCACTAATGAATTCAGAAAAGAGCATTAAGAGTATATATAAAGAGTATTATAATAACTATAAGAAGCAGAACTATCAATTGATATTAATAAGTATGATTTCAAAGTTAAGAGTACTAAATACTTAGGTTTCATCATAGAAGCTGATAAGAGAATTTGAATGAATTCTGAGAAGATCTCTGTCATTCTCAAATGAGAAGCTTTATATACTGTGAAAGATGTATAAAGCTTCATTGAATTCACTAACTTCTATCAGCAATTTATACAAAACTTCTCAGATATTATGAGATCACTTACAGAACTCACTAAGAAAGACTCAGTATTTTAATGATCAGCAGATACTGAAGCTGCATTTATACAGATAAAGAAGATATTTATTAATATCTCTCTGCTGATAATATTCAATTCTGATCATGAAACAGTTATTGAAGCTGATTTCTCTGACTATGTGACAGAAGAAGTCATATTATAATATAATAATAAAGATGTTCTATAATTATGTGTCTTCATATCTAAGAAACTGAGTCTCACTGAATGCAATTATGAGATCTATGATAAGAAACTTCTTACAATTATACACTGTCTAGATGAATGAAACTCTGAACTCTGAAGTATCTCTGAATTTGAGATAATCACAGATTATGAGAACTTTAAATACTTTATAACAATCTGTAAACTTATCAAATAATAGATGTGATAGTCAGAGTTTCTAAGTTACTTTCATTTTACAATACACTACTGTTCTGACAGTCAGAACTTGATGACAGATGCTCTCTCATAACAAGAGCAAGATATGTCATTCAATGTAACAGATACTCACTGAATGAACTGAGAGCACTGACTCTTGAATCTGAAGATACTAGTTAATCAAGATGAAACAGCTCATGACACTATACATACTTCTCTGATTAGAACTGTCACTGATATCTTAACTTCTTTCAAATCTACATTAGATAAGCTATGATATACAGCAGCTCAAACTGATAAACTTCTTTAAACACTCACTGAAGCAGTATGATAAGAAGTACTCTGATTTCTCTCAGAACTACATGTAAGAACTGACATCTCAGAATATTCAATTAATGATAATAACACTCTATAATTTTATAAATAATACTGAGTCTCTTACTCTGAACTCTTACATATTTGAATAATACAAGAGATGCATAATTCATATATAACTAATTATTCAGGCTGTGAACAACTGTATAGAATAATCTTCTAAGAGTTCTATTAATCTGAGATATTAAACAGTATCAGACACTTTATCTGAAACTGTAACTGCTATTCTTCTATTATCTTATAAAAAAACTGTAGAAAAGATCTACTAAAATCACTTGATATCTCTGATAGAATCTGATAAGATGTGATAATTGACTTCACTATTGATCTCTCTGAGAGTAAGAGTTGTAGAAATGTTCTGATTATTATAGACTGATTGAGTAAGAATATAATATTAAAATCTTATGATAAGATGAATACTGAACAAGTTATTAAAGCTTTTCTATAGAGCCTATTCTATCAGATATATAAATTACTGAGATTCATAGTATTGAATCAGAGCTGTCAATTCATGAGTGCTCTCTGAATAAGAATCTGTCAAGTTCTCAAGATTATATATCATCTGTTAACTATCTATCACTCTGAGACTGATAGTGTATCAGAATGAATAATTCAGACTATGAAGAATTATCTTTGTAAATTCTGTAATTACTTATAAGATAATTAACATAATCTTCTTCTACATGCAGAGATTGTTATTAATAATCAAGATACTGTTTCAACAGATGTAAGTCTGTTCTTTCTTATACATGAATATTATATGAAAGTACTGAATCTTCTAAAGATTATACATTTCACACTGAATCTCTGCAGTTCAATTCAGATCACTGATAATATAGTAATAAAACTATGAGATACTCATAATTGAGCAGAGGCCTTCATAGCAAGTATTAAACAGAATTAAGAAGATTGAATCAATATTCACTGAGATCTCACTGAATAATATAAGATAGAAGATCTGATATGATTGAATCTTAAGAATATATGAATTATATGTTTATCTCATATACTAGATTACTGTTATATCTGTGGCGGGCTGCGCCCGATCAATCATATAGACTATTCCGTACACTCCATAGATTCCTACCGCCTTATTCCCGATCGCCGATCCTCGGCCGCCACGAACGTGTATGTTCCGATCGCCGATCCTCGGCCGCTACAAACGCGTGTATATTCTTCCACCCCGAAGCATCACTGTGTACATCATCACATACATGTATAAATATTCACTTCAATTACTGATTCTCACACTTTCTCTTTCTTTCCTTCTCTAACATTTTTCTCTTTGTTATATAAGACCTATCAATATTATACTGATCTATTCAGTGTAGGCTTCTTACACTAGAAAAACATTCATCATCTTCTTATTAGAAATGATTATTCACACATCATCTTCTCATTAGAAATAATTATTCATCAAGAGATATCTGAACATATAATAACACATAAGAAAGAGAAATAATCAGTTAAAGCAGATATCAAGTTCTCAGATAGAAGCTTGCTTATCAGTCACTCTGGCCCTGTAATAAGATCTTATAAAGAGAGTAAGATCTTACAAGAAAATATCAGCAAAAGACTCAAGAGTTCTGATACTCAGACATATGAGATATTTATACAATTACACATCTGATGATCAATAATCATATCTAATAATAATATAAGAGAACTCTTAAACACAAGCATAGAAGTAATATCACAGTGACTTCAAGCAATGTTGAAATTACAACAGTAATAAATAACTGATATGCATACAACTTAATAATATCAATATGAAGAGATTCAATAATTATCACAATAAGAAACTCAGATAATTTCAACATCTATAGAATTAAATATAAAAGCACTGAAAGAACACTTAGATGCTTCTATATATTTTAATACTTTCAATCTCACTCTCTACTCATTATGAAGAATGAAAATGCTTGTGAAACTGAGTATAGATGAAGATATCATTAGTTCACTAATTAATCAAGATTGATATATCAATGAATAATTAAAGAATCACATGAAACAGAAGTTTCATTTATGAATGAAAGCATGTGAATCAGCATTGTAAACATCTGATAATATTATCAAATATCTTGATATTCTGTTCTGAGACACTGTTATACAACAGAAAGTATTAGATTGATTACAGAGTATCTGACAGAGAAATACTTCTCTTACAACATTTATCTCTGACTTCAATATTAAAATTCTAGAAGCAGAAGATTAATCTTGAGAGAATTGAATGAAGATTAGTATACTCAAGAAGACATTAACTTTCAAACTCTTACAGACTCTTATAAGTGTAGATGAAGATCAGACTTATAAAGACTTCTGCATATAGCTTCAGACATTGAATAATCATCTTATCAAGCTCAAGAGTATACAGAACAGTGATAGAAGACATTATATCTCAGTAACTTAT